AAGATGTGGTAATGAATGGCTTACCAAAAGTTTAGCTATGTATCACTCTCTTTCATAGAACTGATCATTTAATAATTTATTATTTTTCATGTAAAATATAACTCTTTTATTGTTTCTTTTAACAAAAGGTGTGCTTACTTTTACTTTTTTTTTACTATCCTCTTTGCCACTGATCTTTTAGCCGGGCCAGATCGGTCACGCCTTCTTTCCTTTATATTCTTCACCAAAAGGTCGGCTCCGCCAGCGATTTACTTGTCACGACTTGGTGCAAATTTTTTTGTACTCCTATGCATGATATAGTTTATGTGAAAGATTTAGGTGAATACAGTGGAGTTGTGATAGTTCATGAAATACGCCCATTACTACCTTTTTTTATATTTTGCTGTCAAATATTCATAATTTGCAGCGAAGTGCTAACTAACTCAATGTTTATTTATATAAGAAGCCATAAAAGTATTGGAAATATCTTTCAATGCTCTGAGACTTAGAGCAATTACAGTCTTAGTGACTTAAAAAATTATAAAGTAAAATATGTGAGGTAGAAGGTGAGTGGCTGCAATGGAAAATCCTCTTCCCTCCCTTCTGCTCCGGGAGAGCTACGTTCCCCCCCCCTAATTTTTACGATCCCTTTAGAATAACAGTATGCAATTTCACCATAATTCTCATATTATTTAGGTTCATTTGGCACTGGGTTAATAAAACATTATTGTAAAATAATCAATTCCTCCCCACCCCACAAAAAACAACACTACATCCGATGAGTTATTGAGTTGTATTAAATTGCTGGTGGTTTGTTTACATCATAGGTGAACAACTGATGAGCCAGCCCCCTCCAGCACCTGCCTGTCTCCATGTTGTTGTCCCCACAGGATGGCTATAACAAGGGAAGGAGCTGTTTATGTATTATAGAACTACTTTTTGTACAATATCTAAGTGTTACTGTATTGTATTATGTACGATGTTTAGTGTTTATTAAAGCAGTGTTGGAACATTTTATGGGTATTTTTTGGCCCCTGGAGTATTAGTAAGCACAGGTACAGCCGGAGTCAAAAGTCTTGAACACTTAGCAATATCTGACATGTACTTGTGAGTTATATGATTGGGATATAGTAATAACACTACTTGTCATCACATATTATGCCTGAACCACAAAATGGGGTAAAACTCTCCTAAATACCTAAGATCTTCAGGTATTTTCATGCCAAATACTGTCAAGTATTCAAGACTTTTGACCCCGACTGTACCTGTGCTTTACGGTATTTCCATTTAAATCAGTTTGACTATAATTTGTTATTTGATACCTCATGATGTCTTGTAGTAGATACCTAACCCACAAATTATCATGACTCCACTAGTATACTAATATGAATAGATACAATTATATAAATCAATCAAATGAAACAGAAAAACGACAAAATAAACATGATTTTGTTCAAGAAGACATTATCTGACACCACGTTTTCTCACAATTTTCTCTTGAGACATTTTCGGTGAATACTAATTTATATTTATTCAGTGCATATTGTATTTAATGCACAAATACTGCTCTGTTGAACTGTTTGGTTTTAATATTCTTAATATTAAAAACAAAACAAAAACATTGATCATGTCATCAACTGTACCAGATATTTTGTTATTGCCTGGGACCATTAATTCATATTTTCATAATGTTGTGTTTACATTTGTGTCCTTTGATAAATGTATAACAATTAAACAATCTCTTAACTAGAAATGTTTAGATTCCTGTAAGCTGAAGCCCTGCAGTCACTACACATCCCCACCTCACTCCCCCCACCTCACTCCCCCACCTCACTCCCCACCTCACACTTCCCCACCATCACTACTTCCCCCCATCCTCATCCCCCACTCACTCTTACTCCTCAGTCCCCCACCTCACTCCTTTTTTTTTAATTTGAATTCTTTTTTTTTCTATTCTGGTGCGAGAGAAGGAAATTGTCTAACTGAGGATGAAGGAACAATGTGTGTGAGGAGAGTGGTTGGTTAGCCCCCCTTTGTGGTCAAGACCCCCCTCCCACCCACACTGATGGTAGGTAGGAAGTGGAGATGGGAGAAGGAGAATATAATCATAAATGGGAGAAATATGGTATAATTGGTGTATTTTTCATGAGTTCACAAATTCATTACATCACACATAACTACCATAAATGAGTTGAAGGAAGAGGAGGAAGACCTGCAAGGAGGAGGACTGACTACATAACATGAACATATTTATGATACACTCTTTATACCGTAGGACGATGATTTGACGATGATTTTAATGGCTCCTGTATTTATTTACATTCTGAAGATTGGCAATTACTCTTTCAAACAATCTAACTTTAGCTAATCAGGGGTTCACATATTTCACAACTCGTAGGAACTTTGTGATTTAACTAAGACCGGTATCCCTCGAGATACAAATGGGTTTGGTGAAAAATAAATCGTTAGGTGAATTTTCTCATCTCGAGTAAAAGAACATAAAAATAAGTCAGTTCTCAATGACAAAAATACCCCAATATCATCACTCTAAACACAAAATTAGTTTAAAATCGTGAACAAAGCTTACTTAACTACTGATAAATAGTACACAACTATTATAATTTATTATCTAACACATGAAATTACCTCCTAACTTGAAAAAAAAATAATAAAAATACGGTTTAACTTTGGTGCATTACCTTAAGGAAAGACATAACACATGGGATGGTTGGAGCTTTGCATGTGGAAGAACTTATTCTTTGTATATAAAATATTGTATACTGTACAGTAATACCCTGTAGAGCATTGTTTTGTTATAGCTCTCTTGTTTGCATCTTGGAAATAACAAACAATAAAGAAATAAACAAAAATGTAGTCAAAATTATTGAGTCTGGACCCTCCCAACATGTTTCTACTGACTTGACCAATCAGCACCAAGCATTCTCGGCTTATCCCCACCACCACCCTCACACAGACCCCCACACCCTCCAACACCACCCCTACACCACACACCCTCCAGCACTACCACACCACACACCTCCAACACCGCCCACACCACACACCCTCCAGCACTACCCACACACCACACACCCTCCAGCACTACCCACACACACCCTCCAACACCCCACACACACCCTCCAACACCACACACACACTCTCCAACACCACCCACACACCCTCCAACACCACACACACACACACACCCTCCAACACCACACACACACACACACACACACACCGAACACCACACACACACACACCCTCAACACACACACACACACATCACCCTCCCACACACACACACACACACCCCTCACCCTCCCTCCAGTACATTCAGAGTGAGGGTGATGACTGTTAAAGCATAGTCAGAGACAACACTGCTCTTGTGATGTGTTGCTGGTTTAGTGTTTTGTTAGGTGAAGCACAAGTGTGTGGTGGCGGGATAAAGATCAGCTGTTGGGGAGCTTATCGCTTGGATACAGTGGTGCGTGTTACCACTCCATTCCACCCCATCTCTCTTATCACCCAGACCTTTCTGCTTTTTCACTCCTTATTTTAAAATGTTATGTAATGTTGAAGGAGAACAATGTTGATCAGCGGTTCAATAGTGTCTGGCAGTGATGCAAGTGCAGTGTTACCAAGGAAACTGATAGATGAAAAACACTCACCACTTAACACACAATTCCACCATTACCTCTATTATCACCACCTATATCATAATTTCAGTGATCCAGAGATGGATTAGCTTCAGCCAGAGCAGAGCCATATAATATCCACTGCCACCCACCCACCAGGTCTCACTGACACGCTGCCTCTCACACTCATTCTACTACAATCATGATTACTATTCATCAAACGACTGTCATTCTTCATACAATATTGTTTATTTGTTATTTATTAATTAGTAAAGATACTTTACTGTAATAATCTGTGTTTACTAATACCTGTACCCTTCATAAAAACAATTGAATGTATCTCATAGGTAAAAAATAACGTCATCAGGAATACTTTTCCATATACTCAATGGTATAATGACCCCTTAGACCAGTGGTGTCAAACCCAAAACCTTTCGAGGGCCAATTCTTACTTTAGTTAACCTCTTCAGGGCCAACACAAGTGGTGTATCACATATTTGCTGGATTGAAGTTTACAGCTTCACACATTGCCTTACCTGGCATACTAGGAGTAACTTCATTTGGTTTTGTCTGATCTTAAGTATGTAAAATTATTTAACTTAATAACCATGATTAACGCTAATAATATGATAGCAAAAGGCATATACAGTACAGGTGCTTCTCTACTTAAGAACGTTCAACTTACAAACTTTCAGAGATGTTTAATGTGGATGAGTGGATTATTTTGAAGAAAATTCCAAATAGAACAAACATTACCTAAGAGGAGAAGAGTGAGCCAGAATAAGGCTGTATTAAAGGGTATAGCTGTACTAAATATCCATAATCTTTTCATTTTTTACAATATGTTTGGTATCTACAAGAGTAAAGTTGGACTTACAAACAAGCCTCAGGAACGTAACTCGTTCGTAAGTAGAGGAGCACCTGTATATGCATTATTTGCGGCTACAATTTATTCTAGAATTCCATTTGTATTTTGAAACTTAAGAGCTCAATATAAATTAATTATTGCCACAATTATGTAAAGATCATTTTGGAATTTACCGACTCAATCATATCTGCATTTTCTCCATCATATCAATTTCTATAAAATTTTACGGGCTGATAAATTTTACCGTCATCCCGTGGGCCATGAGTTTGACACCCCTGCCTTAGAGCGTTGTTTTGTACAGCTCTCTATTACCCAAGAACGTATCTGAGCGTTTACCGGGGTATTAAATTATACTGTATTACTTACAGTATGCACTTTTAATATCCTATAACTAAAATCCCTAAATAAGTAAAAGATCACAAAATTAACGCTGTACTGCTGCCCGTGCTACTCATAGCTTTCCGCATAAGCTATAACTATGGTCACATTTCAACCAATCGCATCAGTGATAACCACTCATGCGAGACCTGCGTAAAATGAGACCCCAACTCTACTGTAATAGAAGAACAAGAAGATACTGAGGAGTACTTGGCAGTTTCTGTAAATTCACTATTATTATTATTATTATTATTATTATTATTATAATATACTGTATAAGGTTTAATGTGGCCACTAAATGAGTTGGATTGGTTTGTGAAAATTTGATATAAGTACAATAAGGAAACCAATTATTTTTTGGTGATTTTGACTTAATACTGTAATAAAGATTGTCCTTTATGATGAATACCATTTATTTTATTTTTTTAGGTGAAGACATAGGGGAAGATGTTAATGAGGCCATTGAAGAAGAAAAATCTATGTCTGATATCAAGCAAGAACCATATAACCTTCCGGATGGCTTTAAATGGGAGACTCTAGACCTCACCAATGAAGAAGTGGTTAGTGTTCATCTTTTCCTTAATATTCTGTAACATTAAAGTTTGAGAAATATAACTTTTGAAATATATTTACTTGAGTATTACATTATTTTAACTTGTAGATTTGGGCAACAGGAATTTAACAGAGTTCAATAATAAACCACATGTTCACTGTCAAATGTGTTTTATAATAATAATAATAATATTTATTCAGTAAAGTTGTCATACAGGTCTACAATTGGATATGTATGCTTATAAACTACCAGTGCAGTTGAGCATGAATATAGATATGGTAGGTATACAGTGTGCACATAGGCCCTGGAGTATACAGTTTCCTGTGGGGCGAGACAGTGTGGGTAAATAACAGTGGTAAACTTTAAGACAATCGTACAAAAGATAATGGACGAAACTGTCGGGTGCTTATTACCATGAGGGTCTATAATGTCAAACTCTCATCATAATTTTTAATAAAATATACAATAAGTGGCATTAATCAAGACATTTTCAGCAAGACTAATTAAAATACACATCTTTATTTTTTGTTTTAATGATGTCCACCTGACTGTAATCTATCATGTGGTACATTATTAACATTGCTATTTATACTGTATATATATATATGGGATGGTACATGACATCATAGTATTACGGTACTTTTTTTTTTTCCGTGTTAATTTTCTTAGATACAATTTGTGTTTAGGCCTAGAGAATGTTTATGCGGTTTTGAGTTTAAAGAATATACTGTACATCTGCCTAAATAGATGTACAGTACCTAAAACAACTATCTGTGCATTCTTTGTGTGAAACTATATGAGACCATGGACGATAAATTTTGGTATATCAGGGCTGTCACTAGTCACACGTAAAATTTCGGAGCATATCGCCCCCACCTGCACAGACAGTTGTTTTAGCTATGGTACATGTTGCTTTTTATAATTGATCTTATACAACTTCATATTTAGTAAATATTATTTGTATGATTATGAACTGTGTGGGTAATTCATGTACAGGTACTCCTCGACTTACGTCCACCTGGACATACGACCGCTGGAGTCGTACCAAAATTTTTTCAAATTACGTATTTTCGAGTCCCGACGTTAGTGATTGCGCTGTGTACTGACAGAATTTTCGTTTGTAATTCCCTTTAAAATGGCTGGCAAGCTTAAACGTAAGAGTTTTGTGGTGCTGAGAAGAAAAAGAGACACGCATTTTAGATTTTCTATGTATCATTTTTTGCATCTTTGAATTACGACCAATTCGACTTGGGACCTGGATTTGGGTCCCTAACCCCGTCGTAAGTCGGGGACTGCCTGTACAACCTCACATTGAATCTATAATGATAAAAGTCCTTCTGTCAAGGCAGTAGAGTGGCTGAATAAAATCATCTGGTATTAGCCAAATAAAACATAAAAAGTGGCTTCCCTGTAGTGAAGGGGTTAAGAAGCTGCTGCTCCTAATCATAATGACAACCCTAAAGGGGTGGCCCAAAACAGCAAGGATAATGAGCCATAGACTACCATATCACCTGCTAGTGCCTCACCACACCATGTCTTTGAATTCTTACAATCATAAACACATTATTTTAGTGTTGGCTGAGAGTATATACAAGTTTCTTCTTGCTGGTAACCTGTTGTCTTGTTTTTGTCTGTACACTGACCCTCGCTTGATGTGGGTTTATTCAAATCGGATTTACTCGAACATGTTTTTTATTTTTTTTATTACTACCTGTGGCATCGCTTAACATTGGCCTAAGATTAGCTTGAATGAAGTGACCCAGCAGTCAAGTTCACTGGTAGCAACCCCAGTGACCCAGCAGTCAAGTCCACTGGTAGCAATCCCAGTGACCCAGCAGTCAAGTCCACTGGTAGCAATCCCAGTGACCCAGCAGTCAAGTCCACTGGTAGCAATCCCAGTGACCCAGCAGTCAAGTCCACTGGTAGCAATCCCAGTGATCCAGCAGTCAAGTCCACTGGTAGCAATCCCAGTGACCCAGCAGTCAAGTCCACTGGTAGCAATCCCAGTGACCCAGCAGTCAAGTCCATTACAGTCTGTGGGTAGCATCCCAATGAGCCAGCAGTCATGTCCATTACAGTCCGTGGGCAGCTTCTCCACGTCACGTGGGCTCAGTGTAAAGCTAGAACTCGGTCCGGCTACAACCAAAAACTTTGCTTAGATTAATTTCAGTTTTTTTGCCTGCTTGCATCACCATGACTCCACCTAAATGTTTTCTGGAGGGACACTCCAGTAAAGAGTAGAGCTACGTTTACCCCAGAGAATAAGTCAGACATTCTTTAACGACCAGAGTGAGGTTAGTCCTCCGCCTTTGTCGGACGTGATTTTTCTGTGAGTGAGCCAACTATCTGTACCACCAAGAAGAAGGCTAAGAAGATTAGAGCTGTATTTTTGGGTAGAGAAATATAACTTTCTTCATAATTTTTTTATTCAGTTACATGCCCATACAATCCTACATACAGATTGGAAAAAAAAAAAAATCGTTAGGTTAAAAACCTAAAATTGATAAACGTTTCTAAGTGCAGCAGCCGTTGGGGGTATAATTACATGGTTAAGCAACTTAACATGTAATTAATTTTCTTAGTTGTAATTCTGTCATACGGCCCTCTCCTAAGTAAAGTCCAAACCTGTCAACTAGTGTGAACCTTACTTACCCTTTACAACTTTTAACTATGTAATATGTAGACCTTCTTGTTTAAGATATTTGTGCAGTTAAGTCTACAAATAAGCTTTCAGTATGTCATGATTCTGCTATAATCAATATATTAATACCTCTGGCTACGAAGTGGATGGTTATGTTAAAAAAATCCACTTTGTTCTTGGAAACTCGTTTGTCTGAAGTAGATTTAACCTTCGTGCATCATGATGCAAATCACGTCAAATCATTCGCTAGCTCCATTTGCGTCAGTGACGCGCATTGCGTCATTAAGCTTTAAAAAATTTGCCAAGGAAAATTTTTTCGTGCATCATAGAGACTGCATGATCTTGCGAGTGATGCTCCAGAAAGTAGCAAAATGTGGGTGAAGTTTTGTTGTCCATCAGTTTCCTCCCATCAGCTGTGCTGATAGGTTGCATGAGTCTCTTTATTTCCTCTCCCATTCTCCCCATAATTAGTCATAAAAATTCCAAAGTCACTGCTGGAAAGCTCATAAAATCCTGCTTCTATAACTATATCATACCCTGGTAGGTTAGTCAGAAAATCTGAGATATGATGTTATGATCACAAATATTTTGTTTTCTTCATTCAGAGTGAAAGAATGTACCTAGTAGTCTTATTCCAGAGTGAAAGAATGTAGTCTTATTCTCATCTTATTTTTTTCTGCTTATAGCCAAAACAATAATGAAGCCAGTCATGTACAGTATAATTCATGCTGGAATAAGTTGGCCGCAGAACTCACGTGAGTGGTCCCATATGACTTATCATGGAAACTTAAAAACTTATTGTGCCGTGTGCACAAGAGGATCAACAAGGAGTAAGTATGTTCCAATCCTTCCTTATTCTGTATTTTGCCTATGCCAAAAATGAACAAAAACTGCTATAATAAATAATAAAATGATACATAGCAAGACAATAGCATACATTTTATGTAGACAAAATAGCTCCTTCCATTTCTTTGGGTAATGTTATGCTGAGAGTGAGCAACACAGTTCAGCCAGGCAGCCACCCAGCTGAGAGTGAATATGTGGCTGTTGCACTGCGTTTATGCCGTGATGTCACAGGGCTAATGACGAAGTCCCAGGTGTTATTAGAGAAAATACCATAGCCATATTAGATGCTCTTTTTTCTGAAAAATGGCTCGAAAATCACCCCGGGTCATATATGTGAAGTTGTGATCTTCCTGAGGCTAATGAATCCCCCAGTAGGCTAAGCTGTACCTAACCCAACTCCAGAATTAAAAATATGTTATTGTTTACTTAGGCACATTATTATTACTTTTTATTACATAGTATACTCTAGTACTGTATAAAGATAATTTTCTCTTCATTTGCATCTGTTAACATTGTTGGTGGCATTGTTGCCAAGTTAGACTTGTCAGTATAGTCTCATCTCCCTCACCCACTTGCTACCATGCTGAGCTGTAAGCTGATATAGTTATTCTTGAACTGGAAATTTGGGGTAGATATACTTTTTTTTTTCAAACATACAAAATATTTCATACATAATGTGCAAAAAATATATGTCATTAGATCCAAAACATAAAGGGAATAAACATTTCTTTGTGTGCTAGAGTTAGCGCACTGAGCAGAGCAGGGGAGGGGAAGGGGGAGCAGTGTGAGGGAGCCCCGTTGCTAAGGGTTGGCAGAGGCGGGGGTGCGTTCCTATGGCCAGCCAGCCAGCCAGCATTCCTAAAACTGATGAAGTGTGTACAGTAACTTGTACCAACCAATTTTTCTTTTTTTTTAAATGTTTATATTATTTTTCCTAAATACTGTATTTACATATAAAGGATTTTATGGACATCTCATCTCCCAGAGAACTTATTGAGTAAAACACAGGCAAAATGTTAGATTTCTTACAAGGATTATTCATACTCAAGTCTGTGAAGGATTGAAGCAGAACTTACATACGTAATTTATTTTTCCAGATGCCCAGTAAGTTTGCTGACTGTCCAGCTTGTTCTGTGAATCAGTTGGAATGTCAACCAGTACAGCACAGTACAGTAGTTTGTCGATTTCAAGCTATTCAATTTAAGATTTTTGACTAAAAGCAACACCCACAATTAAGGACAATGTTTTAATTTAAAGCGAGTCTTTCCTATTTTGCATGAGTCAATCTGGTGCGTCATATTTTAAAATTTGCGCCTAATGTTTCTCTGGGCACGCTACACTGTCCTAAGGGCAAAGCTGTACTGTACGTGTACTCAAAATAATGTACTAAATGATTAGTAAAATTTTTGTCTAGTGCAAACTATAGCATGATTATATTCAAATTAATCACTATCTTATAAGAATTCCAGCAGTGTAAATTAGGTTCTCCCCGGTCACTTCTGTGACATTTTATAAACAAAAACAAAAACTCAATCTAAAGGACAAAAATAAACCAATATATACTTCACTAGACCTTGACGCAACTATCAAGCATGTCACCTCCCCTTCCTCCCATCTTCCCGGCCAGGTTTTGGTGGTTTCAGGCTTTTAAGTTTTTATCCTATATAATTTCACAGACTAAAGTTAGGAGAATATAATATCACAGACTAAAGTTAGGAGAATATAATTTGCATTGCTAGAATCCTTGCAAGACAGCGAATAATTTGAATATAAACGTCATATATTTTGCACAAGAGATAAAAATTTTAGCCCTTTGTAATATAATTAATTAGAACATGTCAGTTCAGTGACATTTTATAAGAGAAAACTTAGTCACTATTAAGGACAGATAAATAAATAAGCACTAGACCTTGGCATCAACTGTCAAACGTATCCCCTCCCCCATCTTCCCAGCCAGTAAACAGACCATTTCACATCCCATAATTTTAGCTGAGTTGATTTATGAGTGTTTGTTTTAACATAATACAGGTACTACAAAAAACAATGTTTTGTTTATTCTAGGAGATGGGCTGAGGTGCATCTGGGTAGACTCTCAGTCTTTTTAGCATTTTGTGTTTCTCTCAAGTTCCAGACTAAATTATTCCATTGAAACAACACTTCGATTCAGTGCGAATTCGGTTTAAAGCGACTTCTCTTGGAATGTATCTCGTGTTATATCGACCTTCTACTGTACCAGTCACATTGACGTTATTATTATATAGTTTCATAATATCCGGGGTGTGTCTCATATCCTTCCCCATTCCTAAATTGGGACTTGATAAATTCAATCTGTACATTTTTTTTTTATTTGTTTCAGCTACAAAACCTGTACAGTCTGTTAAATGAAAATTATGTGGAGGATGACGATAACATGTTTAGGTAAGTTTAATGATCATTACAGAGGAGTGTTCAAGGTAAGTTTCTAGATGTACAGTACTGTAGTTAATTAATACTTATCATTTCTTAATCTTCATGTGACAAGGAAGATTCATCATATTGACCTGTTTTGGGCTGGAAAGATGTCATTAATTGGTACATGTACAGTGGTTTGGTATGAAGAAGTTTTGAAAGTAGGCAGAGTTTGACCGGGGCTGAAGAATGAATAAGTAAACAAAGAAATTAATGGACATATGCAAAGGATGTGTTCTGAACAAACACAAAACAAAGGGTAATATTGTTCTCTACATGACACATCAGTATTGTACAGTACCCAACTCAAAAGACATTATGGTATTTAGCTATATAATTAGTACAGTAACTGACTTAACTGCATCATACAGTAAGAGTGGAAAATACAGTAAAGAGGTACATCTTTACCCTTGAGGACATACTGTTCTCTTAACAATGCCCATTCTGACATATCTCACATTCAATGTTGGTTTTTATTTATTAACTACGTAATTTAATCCAAACTACAGCAGCCAATGTTTTAACAGTCACAAAACATTGTGCATTCTAAGTTTGCACTGTTGTAGTTACATTCATGTGTGCTACAGGGAGTGGCACTCTGACAGCCACACCTGAGTAGGTACAGGATTTCTTCTTGGGCAAGTTTTACGGTACCTGGCAGAGACACTGGCTCATATTGTTCTTTCTCCTCCCATATTCTTCTGGATGAAGTTATGAGGGACTGGCTTCTTGTGGAGACTGCCTCACAACAGCCTGGTGATGAGCTCTCTTGACATTTTCAACAAATGCATTGCTTTTTGGTGGAAGGGAAGATGGATTTGTTGGTGAACTTCCTCTGCCCATTTTTGCTGACCAAAGTTTTACTCGCGTCTCGGGCATTGTACGACACTCGACTTGTCCTCAACAAACAGACATGAAAGCAATAGCTTGGGTTATCATCTCCTGTAGAGTAGAGTCAGTTTACCCCGGACATGACAGAGAGTGCCCACACCTCAACACCTTTAAACCATTTCTTTTCCTACCTCAGAGCAAAAGGCTACGGTATTACACCCAGATAGTGCTTGTGCCGGTAGAATGTCATCAACTATCTGTGCATGTTTCGCAACCGTCTTTCCTATGTCCACACCACCCATTCATTGGTTGGAGATTCTATTGTCACAAGAATCTACAGTTTAGCCTTATGGTAGTACAGTAGTAAAATGCAGCCAGAGTACAAATACATCAATGTTATTAGTGATCCCTCTGATTTTTTCTCTGTCTTGTACAATATCTGAAAATATTGGGTTAATGAGTCATTTATTGTTTTCTGTCACCTTTAAAAATTATTTTCTGGGAAGGTAACTTGATATTGATGCGTAGCTGATGTATTCTGTTAGCTTCAGTTGACCTTGCTTCTCTTGTAATATTCTTTGTACTATAATCATGATTTCATTTGTCATCATGTCTGTCATCCTCCTTGTCATCAACCATTCTCAGGCATTTTGCTGCCTACTTCAAAAGGCTGTAATATTTGCTGCTCCTCTCGAATACAACATGAGTGAGTCATCCCCAAAGTATTCACTTAACTGCCTCACTAATGCAGCTGCCTTGAGAATATGTTACTCCCATGGTCTGTACCTTATGCAACTCAACTGAATTCCAAATATTTGATAAGTCCTCCTTTATTAAAGCGATAACAGACTGAAGGGTATGATCTACTTATTCATCTGTTTTTTCCTTGGCAGCTGCAAATGTCATTGATCTAAGTAATAGGAACTATGACCTGCAGTCACTGTGATACCTGGCATCTGCTGCAGGCTTAAAACTCCCTCCACCAGACATCTCACATTCTTGGCCCTCTCATCCTCCCTCCATACAAGTCTAAGATAACCCGTTTAAGAGGATTCTTATCAGGGTGTCTACTGGTCTGGAATACTTGGAAAAAGCAGGGAATTTAATTTTGGCTGTAAAACTTGGTCATGTAGGTGGATCAGGAGTGTGATGTTTTAATTTTTTGCCGGATTTCTGGATTTTTTGGAGCGTCCAGATCGACCCACGTGAATCATAGAAATCTGAGGAAAAAATTATGGAGGGGGTCGGGTGTCAAGATCTTTTTGAAAATATGTAGAAGTATATTGTACTGTCTTACGCCCCCAAAATATTATGTAATGAATTATGTATTTACCAATATGTGAGGAATTTATGTATGTAAAGTGGTAAAAGAAATTTAGAAAATTAAAGAGAATAATGGGATTCTGACAGATTTCTGTAACTAGTATCTAGACTAAGATTACATCACAGGTACATATTTCAATACTTTAATTCATAGCTGTATAATTTTTTTTCTGTCAATTGGCTTTAAATTTTCCAACAGTATACATTATACATTTTATTGAAAACCTCTAATTTTGTTATTCTGTTGTAATAAATACCAAATTAATGTACAGTTGCCAGCAAAAGTTTTCCCACAGCTCTGTGTAACAAGTTGTGGGAGGACTTTTGCTGGCAACTGTACCTGGAATTTTAAACCTGGAAAAACCAGGGAATTTTGTTTTGTCTGGCCAGTAGACACCCTGCTTACCCCCTTTACTCTCAATTTGATGACTCAAAGCATCCCTCACATTGGAGGGTTGCTTTGGGTCTTCAACAAGGTCGTATTTGTCACCACAAAATAAACACTTCTTGAAAATGAAAATTTAAAGTAAGACTTGAGCATCTTGTTGTCTTTGAGGGAACAGATGATTTGGCTACATCTGGGTTTTCCATTTGTGGCGTTGAATCTGTGTATTGGAAGTGTAAGTACAGTACTGTACTAACACAGTTTCTGTGACACTTAATTAATCAGGGATCTTCACTGAGCTTTTTCTCAAGTGCTTGGTTCATGTCCTCACCATATACTATACAGTATCTTGCTACATCTGATAATATCTCAAATCTTAGTGGGTCCAGCACCAGTCAGGTTATCTGTCTTGCCCCCACAGTTGATTTTCTAAAAAAGACAACATTTTCATCAAGCATGGCTTCTGTTGGTGTAGGTTCTGGTTCTCCTTCATACTGGCTATTCTCTCTTTGGTTCTGGAAGCAAAGAAATTTTGAATCATCAACAGTGGGTTCAGTTGAGAACACAATCAATATTAACAAAAACAGATGCAGAAAATTCCAAGTTTTTAGAGGAAATAAAAAAATGAGTATTTTTTGACATTTTGAGGTGGAGGGTGAAAAGGGTGTAATGCTTCATAAGTGACATGGTGTCATCAGCCTGTTGCTCAAAGTACATCCCCCTAAACCACTAAAATTAATAAAGAAAAACTTTAGACCAAAATTTTTAGAATGGCCAAAATATGCCAGACTATGCCTCTCCTGTCAACTCAATAGAGTTGGTGACCGTGATTGTGACTTCATTTCCTATAGTCATGTTTTTTTTTTTAATATTTGAACTATATTTCAAAGGAATTATTTCAACTCCAAATAGAGCAAATTCCACATTTAATAGTTAGCAAAAAATATGTATATATATTTTTTTCAAAAGACCGTGATGATGCAGAAGATGGTAACCAATGACATTCAATGTAACCATGTCAGTGCTTATTCATCACACATTTTTGCCCCCCCCCCCCCAACACTCTTACTGCAACCTGCTGCTCCATACTTCCAGCTTCTCAGCTTTCATCTCTTACTTATTTTGTCTTTTTAAGTATCTTTCACTTTCTCATTTTTCATTATGTCCACACCACAGAGCAGAAACCTGATCTGCTCTCTGCTTGACTCATACATTATTTCTACATCTACTTCACAATTTCTCATTCTTAGCAGCCTATTTATATTATGAATTGTTCTCAATAATGTCAAGACTGATAAATCGAATTTTCTTCTTGTATCCAGAGTCAATGTTTCTCACTTCCAAAGATTTCCCTGTACCCCTCCCTCTTGATACAATGTTTAGTTGGCCGTTTCACTTTATAACATAATTATTGAATTAATTTGATGTGTTCCTACAGATTTGACTACAGCAGAGAGTTCTTACGGTGGGCCCTTATGCCTCCTGGCTGGAAGCCTCAGTGGCATGTTGGTGTTCGTGTCTCCAAGAGTAACAGATTAGTTGGATTTATATCTGCTATTCCAGCTAGAATCAGGATATACAAACAGTAGGTGTATATTTTATTTTTCTCTTCGGTGTAGTATTTCTGTTTTTTTTTTACTGTGTATGGAATATTAAAATATTATTTTTGTATAATGAACAATGTTAAAGTTACCTTTAATGTATTACTGGTTTATCCATGACTAGATGCTTATACTTTAAATATGTATTGCAGCCAACAGGAAATGGTTGAAATAAATTTCCTGTGTGTTCATAAGAAGCTGCGATCAAAGCGCTTGGCACCCGTATTAATTAAGGAAATTACCAGAAGAGTCAATCTTACTGGCATCTTTCAGGTAAGATTTTTTTTTTTCATGTCCATGTAAACTAATGTTTTATTTCCAGTAATGCAGGTAGCAGAAGTACAGTGCAGCAAGCACCTGGTGTATCATGATAATGTGTCTTGATAGCTGCTGCCATAGAACTAGGTGGAATACCATTGAATCTTAAACTTTTGGATAAAATAAGGCTACGTACTACCTGAAGTGCGGTCACAGTAGTGCTGTCTGTCTGTCTGTCTGTCTGTCTGTCTGTCTGTCTGTCTGTCTATCTATCTATCTATCTATATATATATATATATATATATATATATATATATATATATATATATATATATATATATATATATATATATATATATATATATATATATATATATATATATATATATATATATATATATATATATATATATATATATATATATATATATATATATATATAAGGAATACTATAAAAGAAAGAATTAGTGTTTGTTAAATCTTTTGGAGACAGACCTTTTATAGTATGTATGTATATCCTGTTTTTATATAGTTACTGAAAATAGTTTCCTAAGAGTTGTGTGTGTTGACTTGCATCTTCTGAAATAAAATAGACTTTTCCTGTGTTAAAGGTAAATTTTTTACTCTTTATACTGTATTTGTTAGACATCGCCTTACAACTTGATTTCTTTCCCTCCAGGCTGCGTACACTGCTGGTGTTTTGTTGCCTAAACCTGTGGCATCTTGTCGCTACTGGCATCGGTCACTCAACCCAAAGAAACTAATTGAAGTTAAGTTTTCTCACCTTGGCAAGAACATGACAATGCAGCGAACACTGAAACTGTACCGGTTGCCAACAGACACTGTGACCCCAGGGTTTCGAAGATTAAAGATGGACAACATTGATGCGTGTCATAAGTTATTAGAAGAATATCTAAGCAAATTTGATCTAGCACCTGTATTTAGTAAAGAAGAATTTATTCACTGGTTCCTTCCGCAGGACAAGATCATAGACAGTTATGTAGTTGAAAATTTGGGCAAAGTTACGGGTAAGATTTTTTTTTTTTTATAGTGAAGTGCAATATACATCACATATCCTCATTCCTGTAAGGTCTTTTTTGCTTGCTTTGACTAATGACTTGCAAGCTTAACCCATCCAGAACACCCTCTGGCTGAGTCTGCCTTGCCTTGGATTCTCAGTCAGGAATATTGTCTCGCTAGTTCACTACAATTTGCTACATAAACAGCTACTTGCCCAGTGGAACCAGGGTTTATGAAGCATATTCCAAACTTGATCCAGTGATTGCTTTTAGAGCCAGTATGTTCATTGGGACAAACCTTGGAGCTGGTTTGTTTCTCTAGACTCAAAGCCCTTGGTTATACACTTAGACTTCATTCATCACATTTGCCTGGCCATTATTTTCTACCAACACACGCTCTCTACACTCTGCTATGCTTCCCAATGGATTCTGCAAGGATAAGTATTTCTTTGTTTTAATTTTTCCTTTAATTGGCAGTGTAGATTTTCATCTCACAATCTTTCATATATGAATGCTTTCTATTTGTGAGGTGAATAGTGCTTTGTGAGTCTTATATCATCAAGTTTATTCAATGAGTAAGTAATTATTTTTCATCAGTATATGACCCTGGTGATGGCCTGATACAACATGAGTTACAGGTGCATATCAGTTGAGGCACTCCCATTGATAGTGACCAATCAACCAACAGGAAGCCCAACTCTTTCTCTACTCAATACAGGGTAGAAACAGAGTCGGGCTTCCTGTTGAAACAAGAATCTGATTTGGTCACCATTGGTTGGTTTGTCACACCTCAATTCATGTTTTATATTTTATTTTCAATGGTTCTTGTGTCATTTCTCTTCTTCTCTCTTACCCTCCTCTAAGATGATCTTTACTCTGTTTTGGGAATGCCTCCTAAGGAAGCTACGTAATCCCTGGAACCCACCAAACTTTGTCCTGATCTAATGAAATCTGGATTTGCCGGGTGTGAATCTTTGAGGGTTCACTGTAATAAATAACACAGGACTTTCATGAAAACGTACCCTCCCATGTTATTCACTCATCCTGGGAGTGAGGAGGTGTCTGATCCAGAGTATGTGAAAAGCTCTAGTGAGGAGGATGAAGACATCATAGTGAGTGAAACTTTGCGGTGCAGGAGACTTATGCATCGCGGTTCACACACCATTCCACCTACATCCTCCTCTGCTGGCTCTCCTGCTGATTGGGCTGTGGCAGGCCCTTCATGTGTGACACTATATGGAAGGAGATGCAGAAGTGAGGACAGGGAAACTGGAGGTGAGAGAGGGAGGTCGTAGTTGCCTGCCACCACACCATGTAGTACCATGCCTGCCCGTGGAAAGAAATTTGCCCAGAAATAATGCCATGTTTGTTGCAGCCAAGAAAGCACCATGAAACTTGGCATCAGTGTGAGGGGTGTGGTGTTGCCTTGTGTCTAGATCCTTGTTTTGCCAGATGCCACCAGTAGCAGAAGTACTAATGTCTGTTGAACTTGTTGTATGTAGTGTAAATATTCCTTTTAAGGTGTACAATAAGTTATATTATAAAGAAAACTAGTATTTATCAGCTCCATTCTACCTCACTCGGCACACACATTGATCGTGTGTCTACATGGCTTGTGGCCAAATCTTTTTGTAAACAATCACTGTTGTGAGTGTTCATCAGTGATAATTACTGTCATTATAATAATCCAAACAGTGTTACAGTATTTTAATTGCTGTGTTACATTTCAGAGTCACTGATCAAATTGGACAAAACCAGTAACCAGTTTGTTATTCACATAAATATCATGTACAGTATGTGAGGGGGTTAAACATTCATTTGGATGGCTACTGAAAATGTTGCAGTGGCATACCCAGAAATGTTGGGGGGGGGGGGCAACTTTGGACTAAACATACCGTGGTATTGTTTAAATACTTGATAATTAATAATTTTCTTTTATATCTTTGTTGTTGTTGACCTTGTTAGTGTTGCTGTTATTTTTATTTATTTATTTTTTCTTTTCTTTTCTTATTGTTAGAAACGGTTTATTTGGAATAATTTATTAGCTCAAGGTGGGGGCAATCACCCTGTGCCTCCCCACCTTCGGTACGCCTATGAAATGTTGCTAAACCACCATGTGATTAAGACATTACTTATCCATGATGACTCCTGAAACATACTCAAGACTTTACATGGGAACAAGTCTGCTACACTGTAAATTGATTTTTAAGAGAAAGATTTCAGTTTTCTTCATCACCATTATAATGTAGGTTAACCCCTGACAAGCTGAAATTTGCAGTCTATTACTTCTATTTAAGATATACTGTAGGTTAAACATTATTATTAACAACAAATAATCTTCAATAAGAGTAGAAGTAAAAAACTCTCAATAAACTTGAGGGTTGAGGCAGCATTCACCATTTACTTCCTCTTATTATATCCTTTGATTTATGCATTTTTCACTTATCAGTACATGGCCATTATCAAGAATGCAACTATGACATAAACCAAGGGGATGCTGTATACAGGAATACCCCAGTTATCTCAAGGGATGCATTCCTTAATGTCATTGTGAATAACAGAATTGGAGATATTGTGGGTGATAATCTTGCCAGCTACGTGTGTGTGCGTGCGTGCGTGCTTTCATCACTACAACATTAACATCACTTTAAGCCAACACTAACATCATCACTACAACACAACACTAACATCATCACTACAACACAACACTAACATCATCACTACAACACAACACTAACATCATCACTACAACACAACACTAACATCATCACTACAACACAACACTAACATCATCACTACAACACAACACTAACATCATCACTACAACACAACACTAACATCATCACTACAACACAACACTAACATCTTCACTACAACACAACACTAAGATCATCACTACAACACAACACTAACAACATCAATACAACACAACACTAACATCATCACTACAAAACACTAACATCACTACAACACAACACTAACATCATCACTACACACTAACATCACGACAAAACACTAACATCACTACAACACAACATTAACATCATCACTACAACACAACACTAACATCATCACTACAAAACACTAACATCACTACAACACAACACTAACATCACTACAACACAATACTAACATCATCCACTTTCCTGTACAACACTAACATCATCACTACAACACAACACTAACATCATCACTGCAACACAACACTAGCATCATCTCACTACAACACAACACTAACATCATCACTACAACACAACATTAACATCACTACAACACAACACTAACACATCATCACTGCAACACAACTTACTAACATCATCACTACAACACAACACTAACATCATCACTGCAAAACACTAACATCATCACTACAACACAACATTAACATCATCACTACAAAACACTAACATCATCACTACAACACAACACTAACATCATCACTACAAAACACTAACATCATCACTACAACACAACACTAACATCACTACAAAACACTAACATCACTACAACACAACACTAACATCATCGCTACAAAACACTAACATCATCACTACAACACATCACTAACATCATCACTACAAAACACTAACCTCACTACAACACCACACTAACATCACTTTAAGCCAACACTAACATCATCACTACAAAACACTAACATCATCACTACATTACATCACTAACATCATCACTACAAAACACTAACATCATCACTACAACACATCATTAACATCATCACTACAAAACACTAACATCACTACAACACAACACTAACATCATCACTACAACACTAACATCATCACTACAACACAACACTAACATCATCACTACAAAACACTAACATCATCACTACACAACACTAACATCATCACTACAACACAACACTAACATCATCACTACAACACACACTAACATCATCACTACAAAACACTAACATCACTAAGCCAACACTAACATCACTACAACACATCACTAACATCATCACTACAACACAACAATAGCATCACTTTAAGCCAACACTAACATCTTCACTACAACACAACACTAACATCACTCTAAGCCAACACTAACATCATCACTACAACACAACAATAGCATCACTTTAAGCCAACACTAACATCATCACTACAACACAACAATAGCAACACTTTAAGCCAACACTAACATCATCAATCATCACTACAAAATACTAACATCCCTACAATACAACACTAACATTACTTTAACACAGCCTCTTACTATATTTTTTGACATCTCACTAATTCTTGTTCATAACTGTACAATAATTTAAGACATCACCCAGGAAAACTTTGAATAAAATGGCAAAGACACGATGTGAATATCGATTCAACGGGAAGGAGGAATTCCTTAAATTCCTTAAAGAAAAAGTAATTTTCACTGGTATTTCGACACAATTGATCTTACGGGAAGATTTAGTCCGCGAGTATAAGAAGTACTGTGATAGCCAAGGCAGCTCCCCGGCTTCAGTTGTTAGTATTGGACGGTTAATGTCCAAGTTAGGTGCGAAATGCAATGTGCGTGTGGGGGGCTGCAACGGCGTCGGCCAGAAGTACGCCTTCCCAGGCGTCGTCTTTCAGCCTTGTGTGGAAGTCCTTGCAACGTGCTCGTTGCAAGCTGTAAAAAGCAAGTCGGTGGATATTCCCTCAAACCAAAATACTTCTGTCAACAGAAAACGCAAATCAGACATGGAAAACGTCAAGCAGCCAAAACGAGTTAAAACGTCAACTGAAAAAAAGGAAGACTTTTCGTCATTTTTCGAGAAGTTTCTCTCTCCTTCATACGACAGTAACGACATAGTAGGTCGACACGACCTATTTCAAGAATATAACACGTACTGTCAACAAAATGGGCTTCAGGAGATACACAAGTTCCAGATCGGACGGTTGATGGCCACCCGAGGTCTGGAGCTCATCACGAGGGTTGGACCAGAAAATAAGCGACTGTATTATTATAAATGCTTAAGATGGACTGACAGCGGAATGTGTAATGAT